CCCACCCCACCCCCGCAGCCTTCTCCCTGGGTCTTCTCCCCTCCCCTGAAAAGCCTCCCTCTTGGAAGTTGCAGTTCTTCGTGGCAACACCCCCAGGTGTGCCTTTCCCCTGCTCTCCCCGCACTGGGGCATCCTGCAGAAAGGCAAGTCCCCGTGCTTCCTCCTCACTCAGTTTGGCTTTAGACCTTTTTGTGGGGTGGAAGCTGCCGCTATCCTGAGGACTCATGTGGGGATCTCGCCTCCTGTTGGCGAACAAGAATCTGTGTCAGTTTCTCTTTCGCTCTGGTTGCTCACCTGGCTCGTGGCCCTGCCCTGCATGGGCTTCCCCAGCTTGGCGCCTCCCCTGGTGGCAGATGAATTATTTTCACTTTTCCCACGTCAGCCTGGGATTGCCCCCACTACCAGGATAAAAGCTGCAGCATGGATGGAGCTCAGGCAAACAAACTTTGTAGTTCATTGATACAGACATAGCAGTGGGCTGAGACACAGAAGAGGAGACTTGAGTCAGAAACCAAACAAGACTGAGTGAGAGACCCAGGTGACAGCCTCCCAGTGGACACTTGGATCCCCATCTGCTGACAGAGACCAGAGACCAGAATGAAGCTGGGTGAGCCCCCACATCATTCTCCATGACCCTCACCTCCCCACTGCCCCCACCCTCAGCCGCTCATGCTCTCCATCCCCTCATCTGTCTACCTTTCCATAACGCAGACATGGCCACAGGTTGCATGCTGCTGCTGATGCTGCTGACCACGGTGCTGACCAGCACAGGGGCAGTTCCTGTCCCCAAGCCCCTCCCAGGTGCAAGGGGCTGCCACATGGCCCAGTTCAAGTCTCTGCATCCAGAAGAGGTGAAGGTCTTCAGGAGGGCCAAGGATGCCTTGGTGAGTCTCCCCACTGCCCCACCTGCTGTGGGCTAACCTCCACCCTCCCTCTGTGGGCTACCATGCTACACTCCACTGAAGGTGGACCAGCTCTTTTCCTTCACGGGGCCAACCTCCACCCTTCCCACAGTGGACTAGGTCCTGCTGTTGCTGCAGTGGGCTGACTCATGTGCTTTTGCAGTGGAGATGCCTCTCCCACTTATTTCAAAGTTAGCCTCCCCTCCTCGTGTTTTTAGCCATCCTCTATTCCCCCTGTAGTGGTCTCACCTCCAGCCCTTGGGCTGTGGCCTGACCCCTGCCCTTTCTTTCCAGGAAGAGTTGCTGTTGCTGAGGAACTGGAGCTGCAGCTCCCACCCATTCCCCAGGACCCGGGACCTGAGGCAGCTGCAGGTGAGTTGGGAGAGTCAGGCCCAGCGCTGCCCTCACCTGGCCCCACCTCTGGCTTCTTCGGTGGCTCCTTCACCTGTTCTTTGTCACTTGTCCCTGTGTCTTGCCCTCCCCACCCGTCCCCCTGACCTCATTCCCTCACCCGCCCACGCTGGCTGCGCACTCTCACCTATCCCCTGACTTTCACCTTCACCTGTCCCTTCGAGGATCCTCCTCACCTTTCCCTCTTCACCTGTTCTCTCTCATGTACAACTCTCACCTGTCTTCCGTCTCCCCTCCTCAGGTGTCGGAGCGTCCTGTAGCCTTGGAGGCTGAGCTGGCCCTGACGCTGAAGGTGTTGGCGACTGTGGCTAATTCGACCCTGGGGGACATCCTGGACCAGCCCCTCTGCACACTGCGCTATATCCACTCCAAGCTTCAGGACTGTGTGAGTGCTCGGGGCACCGGTCCATGTCTGTGGGCTCTGACCATCAGTATGTCCCTGTCTGTTCTGGGCCCTGCCTCACACACCACCCTCCTCTGCCCACAGGTCCCAGCTCAGCCCACAGCAGGCCCCAGGCCCCAGGGCCACCTACGCCAGTGGCTACACCGGCTTCAGGAGGCCCAGAAGAAGGTGAGCAACCAGGAAGAAGAAACTGATGTCTGGGGACAACTGGGATCCTAGACATGGGAGCCACTGACCTGTCCCTTTCTCCCCACAGGAGTCCCCTGACTGCCTCAAAGCCTCTGTCACATTCAACCTCTTCCGCCTCCTCACCTTGGACCTGAAATGTGTCGCCAATGGAGACCTGTGTGTCTGACACTGAGACCCACCTGGAATCTGTCCCAGCACCTTAGATATTATTTGTGCATCAGCCATTTTTGTTAACTTATTGCCACCCAATCACTATTTATGTATTTATATTTGTCCATTTATGTGTTTATGTGTGAATTCTCAAATTCAGACCAATAAAATGTTTATTTTTTTACTTCTTGTAAAAATTGTGCAATTATACAATGAGGAAAAGATGCTTTTTGTGCTGTGGGACTGTGTGTGTGTTTTTGTGGATTAGATCTTCCATATAATTGGTCTGGAAGAGGTCTAGTTCCTGTGCCCACTTTGGTGCTGACCCCCATGTACCATGGACCAGTTTTATTTACATCATTGTCTGGGTTCCCCTGATTTTTACAGAACTGGACCTCTGATTTGAACTCTAAACACTTCCTTTAGGATTCTATAAATCTCTGACTCTTGGCTCTCCCCACCTGAGCAGTTCTCATTCCTGAGAGATTTGGGGATCACAGATGTTAAAGTTCCCAGTTACAACCCTGTGTCGCTTAACCACAGGGACACATTCTGAGAAATGTGTTGTTAGACGATTCCGTCATTGTGGGAATGTCACTGAGTGCACTCACACACACCTAGGTGGTGTAGCCTACCACACACCTAGGCTGTATGGTATAGCCTGTTGTTCCTGGGCTACAAGCCTGTACAGCATGTTACTGTACTGAATACTGTAGGTAACTGTAACACAATAGTAGGTATTTGTGTATCTAAAGATAGAAAAAGTACAGTAAAATACAGTATAGAAGGAAAAATGGTACACCTGTATAGGGCGCGTACCATAAATGGAGGTTGCAGGGTGAGTCAGTGAGTGAGTTGTGAGTAAATGTGATGGTTTAGGGCATTACTGTGCACTATTGTAGATTTTATAGACACTGTATACTTAGGCTAAACTAAATTTATAAAACAACACAATATTAAATCAAGCACAAGAGAAAATGATGCAATCAAGAGACAGTGTAAACATGAGAAGTGTGAGACTGCTGCCAGCATAACATGCATACAGCAAACTTTTTTATAAGTGGAAAGAGTACATCCTAAAATAATGATTGAAAGTATAGTATAGGAAATACAGAAACCAGTAATGTAGTCAATATTTCAACTATTACGTACAGTACATAATTGTAATGTGCTATATACCTCTACACGACTGGCAGTGCAGTGGGTCTGTTTACACCAGCATCACCACAAACACATGAGCAATGCGTTGCACTAGGAGGTCCCAACAGCTACAGTGTCACTAGGCAATAAGAATGTCCCAGCTCCATTATAATCTTATGGGACCACCGCTGTATATGCAATCTGTTGTTTACCAAAACGTCATCATGCAGCCCATGGCTGTATTGTGGTATTTTTGGATCCTGTTATTTAATGTGTCCTTGTGCTTATAAGACCTGTGCACCTGTGGTGTTATTCTGTTTTTCCTGGTGTTAATTTATTTTTATTTATTAAATGGTGCCACACTTAGTACCAAGAACAATCATTTTGTGTGTAGTAGAGGAGGCCCGACTTTGGACTCAGACCTTAATTTGATACTCAGGTGAGACATTTATCTGCCAAGTGACTTTTAGTAGTATACTTGCCTTTTCTGGCCTTTCATTTTCTTCATCTGAAAATAACTTAATGATACCTCTCTTGGAAACATTCACTTATTCATCCATCCATCCATTCCATCATTTATTCATTCTACATGGGTGGTGTTACCTGCTTGCCTGTCATTGTCTAGATATTGGGGATACAGAGCCACAGGCCCTGTCCTCAGGGAGCTTCAGTCTGGAGAGGGAGCCAGACATTGAAGCCTGAGGAACGGAAAGGAGCTTCCATTCATCCAGAGCTTACAGAAGGGTGGCCGGGAGCAAATTTAGACAGGGGCCAAGTCTCACCGTGCCTGTGAGGTCTTTAAAGCACTTTGATTTTCCTGGAGGAGACATAGGGAGTCCTTGCAGGGTTTTAAGCAACAGAGCAACTGCTCCAATGTCTGTTTCTAAAAGTTTGGGCCTCATAAGCGGAGAGTTGACTGGAGTGTCCAAGAGTAGGTGAGGGAGTCTAGGTGTGAGATGACGGTGAGTTCGACCTCAATGAGGCAGAGATGAGACTGATATGTATTCATATCTTTTGTGGATTAGAAACAATATCTGCAAAGCAATTACATCTCACCCGATAGGTAGAACTATCTCAAGATACAGAACTATCTTTACTGTATCTCAAGTACAGTAAAGGAGATGGTATGGTTTTGTGGTTAAAAATGTGAGCTCTGAGGTCAGAGAGATCTTAGAATCCCAACTTCTGCTCAGTTAATTATTGTGTGACCTTCGGGAAGTCACTTAAACTTTCAGTTTCCAGTCAGTAAAATAGTGACAATATCCTACCTCAATGGGTGGTTGTGCAAATTAGACGTGTTAAACCATGTCAAGTGCTAAGGCGCAGTCTCTGACACAAAATAGAACTCAATATTAAATCGATGTATCATCATTTCAGAAAGTTCTAACGTGTGAACTGTCGAATAAAAGAGGAAGCTTTATCCTAGGGCCCTATCTCTAAAATAGATGAAGGAGATACAGTTGTTGCCAGCCCAACAAAAATTTCTCAGGCCATTCTTTTTGGCAGAGGCCCTCCCAATCATCATTCCTAGTGAATCTTGATTGGCCTAAACCAATCATGGGATTCCCATCCCTCCTGCTAGAGATGAATGTGGGCATGACTATGTGACTGCATCTCCCAGGATCCTTGCAGGTGACTAATGTCACCGTCAAATGGAGTAAGTAAGGGATTTACTTAAGTAACAATGTACAGATGTGGGGTGTGGGTAAGGGACACCACCAAAAAGAAGCACCCCAGACCCAGCTAACAGCCAGAAGCTATTGTCATTCCTAAACCAGAAGGGACACAGGAGGGAATGGTTATCAGTCCCCTGGCCGACATTCCGGAACACCACTGCTGCCTGTCCACAGCCCAGCAGAGAAATAGACAGGAGAGTAAATACTGTGGATGAAAAAAAGGGGTTCTATAGAAAGTAACCTCACAGGGTGATCTGAGAAATTCCTAACTAAGCAGGTCACGGTGGGTAGTCACACCCCAAGCATGTAACTTTTTTAGTGAGAAGCTTTTAAGCAAGCCCTGTCCATTGTTCTTGTGCATCTAGGTTAACACATCTTTGAGACGTCAGAAGTAACACCCCTGGAAGGTATAATCACCCTTAAGAAACCACGTAATCTTTTAAACTATCCTGTAATCCGATCCCTGCCTTGCTTTCTCTCCCTTTCCTGTAATCTTCTTTATGTTCCCTCCTTAATCTCCAATGCATAAAAGAAACTGCAAAACTGTTATTTTCCGGAGTATTTGAGATCTTGCTCCCCCAGCATATGCTGTCAGTATGGCTCAAACAAACTCATAAAAATTCTCTACAGGTTTGGATGTTTTTTACTTTGACAATACTCAACTGCTCTCTTCTTCCCCCTCCAATTTTCTTCTAACACCTCCCACCGGCTGAACCCATCTGGAAGATAGAAGGCAAGGGAATCCCAACTGACACAGTCCCAATGCCCAGACCTAGAGCAGAGCAGAGAGTGAATGCAAAGGGAAAAAGAGGACATGTTTTACAGTGATCTCACGCTGGCCGATGACGAGGGGACTCAGGCTTGGGGAGAGAAAGGGGACTCTAAGAAAGGTTTTGTGTCATTTTATGTGGCAGGCTGAAAAATGGCTCTCCAAAAAAATATCCATGTCCTAATCCCTGGAACCTGTAATATGACCTTATTTGAAAAAAAAAAAAGTCTCTGTAGGTGTGACTAAATTAAGGATTTTGAGGTGAGATTATCCTGGATTATCAGGGTGGGCTCTAAATGGTATGGCAAGTATCATTATAAGAGAGACACAGAGGAAGATAATATACCCAGAAGAGATTAGAGGAAGATAATATATCCAGGCAGAGATTAGAGTGATGCAGCCGCCACAAGCTAAGGAGTGCTGACAGCTACCAGAAGCTGGAAGAGGCAGGCAGCTAGTTTTCCCTCAGAGCTTTGGGAGGGAGCAGAGTCCTGCTGACACTGATTCTGGACTAGTGATACGGATTGCAGACTTCTGGCCATAACAAATTTACACAGTTCATTACAGAGACCAGGACCTATTCTAGTTAATTTTGGCAGAAAGGATTTCATTATAGCGTGTTAAGTGGCTTACAGAAGTGTCAGGAAGGTTGAACAAATAGGCTCTGTGCTGGCCATTCAGGTACAACTTCAAGAGCCAAACCATAAACCTGGGCTTCTTAAGGGCCCACTTCCTTTCTAGGATTAGGATCTTGACTGCTTCCACCACCATGATCAGGAAGGCAGCACAACCAGGACTTGATTGCAATTATAGGACAACTGTCATCAGAAACTGCTATGCTCAGAAAGATCACCGCAGAAAAGTGGACCCTTCCACCGTGATGGAGCGAGAAGCGTGGCTTCCACCCCACGTCCGCCAGGCAAATCTTGTGTGAGTGCATTGGATTGGAAGAACCCAAATGTAGGGCAGACCCTAGCTGCAAGGTAGTCTGAGAAATGTAGTTTTTAGCTTTTCAGGCCCTGCAGGCAGGAAGGCAGACAAGAGCAAAGTTGAAATGGATGCTGAGCACCAACCCATCATATTCAAGACAAGTTAATAGGAGACACCATTACTCATCCAGTTGAATGGCTGGAATTAGAAAGATTGAAAAGAGCAAGTGCTGGGGTTTGAGAGCACCTGGACTGGGAATTCTGTGACAGCAGGACCTGGGCTCTCTTGGCCATCAGGGTGTCCCATTGCCACCCAGTTCAGGACTTAGCACAGAATAGGTATTCAGTAGATGTTTATTGAATAAATGAACAAAATATTTTCAGAGGACACTTCTTCATGATGACTGGGATCCCCTTCTTACCCTGGATGTCATCGTGTCTCCATATGATGCCTGGAATTACAGCAGCCATCTTGGGATCATGAGGGTCTGAGAACAAGCAA